CAACCTTAAAAATGTGCACAAACTCAATTATTTACCGCTGGTTAGTCGAATAATAGAGGATTTACAGAAATGGATACATCTACCTATTACTTTGATTGGCCGAATAAATTGCATTAAAATGAATATATTACCAAGGCTGCAGTACCTCTTTCAGTCCTTACCGATTCCAGTGCCACCCAGTTTTTAAAAAAACCTTAATAAACATATCAGACAATTCATATGGAATGGTAAGACTCCAAGGGTCTCAATAGAAAAACTTACATGKGACTATAAACTGGGGGGTCTTCGACTGCCTAATCTTGAAAAGCATTWTTTGGCTGCACAAATGCGACTTGTTTCTTTTCTTTTTGAAAGGGAAAATGTCCCTCCATGGGTTTCAATTGGAATGTATGCTCTTAAAGAAAATATTCCTGCAGACTTTATCTATAAATGGACACCTTTAGCTATCTCCAGAAGAACTGACAACCCTGTCTTGATTCATATCATCAAAACGTGGCATGAAGTCCGGAAAAATATTGGACTAAATATTGTGGATAATAAGACCCTGGAAATGTGGCACCAGAAAGGGATTCATCATTTTGAGGACTGCTATGAGAATCGATACCTGATGTCCTTCGAGGACCTAAGAAGGAAGTATGATCTGTCCAGCAGAAACTTTTTTTGTTATTTACAGTTAAGATCATTTCTTAAATCTGTTTTGGGATCTGAAATGACTTTACCCATGCTCAATGGTCTGGAAAAACTGCTTCATGAGGGCAACACACCTCGTCTTTTCTCAAAAGTATACTCACTCTTGATGGATGATGCTCCAAAACCAGGTTTACATAAATCAAGGGAGAAATGGGAGTCCGATTTGGGTGTGATAATGGGTACAGCGCTCTGGTCTGAATTGTGTCAAAAAAGTGCCACTATTAACTCCAGATACAGGCTGACCTATTATAACTTTCTCCATCAAACCTATCTTACGCCACAGATATTGCATAAATATAAACCTGAGATATCCAGCTTGTGTTTTAGATGTAGTATAGAAAAAGGCTCATTCCTGCACTGCACTTGGTTATGCACAAAACTTAACACATTCTGGCATGATTTTTCTGACATCATGACAATACTTCTTGGAGTGCATCTCCCATTAGATCCTCAAACCTGCTTATTAGGAGACACTACAAATATTGATGCACGATTAAGAAAAGCTCAAAAGAAGTTTCTCTCATTGGCCTTGTGTGTTGCCAGGAAGTGCATCACCATCACGTGGAAGTCGGACCAACTTTCTATAGGAAGATGGGTTTCAGAAATGAATAGCTGTGCTCCACTTAGAAACACTATAATACTTTTACAGAGATGTTGCAGCCTTATTTAGCATATATGGACACATTGCCGCCTTCAATAGTGGACGGGTTGTAGATTTATAGGTTCCTTGCCGTTAGCGATTATTGTTTGTCTACCTTGCCTCTCGACTTTTTTTATTATGCTAATTTCTTCATTATTTTTATTTTCTACCTCTCTTTCACTGTTTGTTTGTAGGTGGGTTGGGGGAGGGTTTTCTGAGTTGTGTATTTGTGTTTTGTTGAATTGAAAACTGAAAACAAAAATAAAACATTCTAAAAAAAAAAAAAAGATGGAAGACAGATGACTCAGGTGTTTCTCTCTGGCCAAACCCCTCGTTATTGCCTCGTAAACCCTCAGTTGGTAAATCAGGTGGTTGAAGTCAGCTCTTTTCAACCTGATCCCGCTCTGCTGCAGGAGGAAACAGGCCTGCCGACTTGTGCCCAGTAAGGGCACTGAAGGCTTATATTGCACGCACACAGTCTCTGAGGTGCTCACACTAGTTATTTGTCTGTTTTGTTGGTAAAAAAGTTGGAGATTATGGCATCATTTAAGGTAAAGACCATGGTGAAGTCTCATAGATGCATAGTTATGTTCATAACTTAGGATCCTGTCAATCATCATCTTTAATATTAAGAAGGTAATGAAAGTTAAACTAACACACACACCATTCATTCATATGGATGCACTGCCCCAAACTTGACTCGGAAATGTTTCACTTAATACAATTCAATTCAATTTTATTTGTATAGCGCCAAATCATAATACACATTATCTCAAGGCACTTTACATAGAAGGTCAGGACCTTAAAATCAAAATATAAAGAAACCCAACAGTTCCCACGATGAGCAAGCACTTTGGCGACTGTGGAGAGGAAAAACTCCCTCATTAACAGGGAGAAACCTCTGGCAGAACCAGGCTCAATGTGGGCGATCATCTCGACCGGTTGGGGTGAGCAAAGAAAACAGGGGAAGGAGATGAGAGAGGGGTGGAAAAGAGGGGATAGAAGAGAGAGGGATAGTGGGGAGGGGGAAGTAGGTGAGAGAAAGACCGGGGACACTTGAGCGCCATCAGGTATCAGATCTGACTAGTTAAAAAGTGAACAACAGTGTAAAGACTATTAATTACTGTGAATAACAGACACATTTTATATCAAAATTAATTACTGCGATATTGTAATTAGTAATAGGAGAAGTTGTTGTCCTGAGGTTCCGGGGTCAGAGATATCTGAAATGAGAGAGAAAAAAGAGAGAGAGAGACTATGGGAGTACAAAGTGAAATAGTCATTGAAATGTATTAAAATAAATAAATGAGTGAATGTGGGGGGGCAGAGAGACGAAGAGAGAAGTGGAGAGGTGCTCAGTGGATGATGGGAGTTCCCCCAGCAGTCTAGACCTATAGCAGCATAACTAAGGGATGGTTCAGGACTCACCTGGTCCAGAAGTAACTATAGGCTTTATCAAAAAGGAACGTTTTAAGTTTAACTTTAAATGCAGAGATGGTGCCTGCCTCCCGAACCCAGTGTGGGGGCTGGTTCCACAGGAGAGGACCTGGTAGCTGAATGCTCTACCTCCTGTTACTCTTACAGACTCTTGGAACCACAAGAGAGCCTGTGTTTTGTGAACGAAGTGATCTATTTGGATAATATGGTGTTATGAGCTCTTTGATATATGAAGGTGCTTGATTGTTAAGGGCTTTAAATGTGAGGAGCAGGATTTTGAAATTTTTTGGAAATTTTACAGGGAGCCAATGCAGAGAAGCTAAGCCAGGAGTAATATGATCTCTCCTACTAGTTCCTGTCAGCACTCGTGCTGCGGCATTTTGAATCAATGATATGAAATTATATAATTGAAATACTACATTATCATACTGAAGGCCCATTAAGCATAGTACAAGTTAGAAGCTGGTCTTTTCAGGCCACATTTCACACAAGCAAAATCAACTTGCAGATTAGGTAAACATGAACACTCAGCATTATAATTAATATAATAATACTGTTTTGGCAGTGTAACATTAAACACTTAAACAATTCTTCCAGTGATGGACAACCCTGTAACATTCTTTAAAACAAGTGTAGCCTTTAAAGTGGGTTAGGCTCAAAATTGTGGAAATGAACGCTACGGTCATTTCCAAAGTAACAAAAATTCCACTGAAACTATTGTGGTGTACACCAACACAAAATAGAATTGCACACTGCTCACCACACAGTTCAGTGCATCAGATATTTCAATGACAAAACAAACAACAAAAACAAACAAACGAAAAATACATAAATAAAATATTATCAACCATACAATAATGACGGCTGTTACCATTCGGCCAGATCAAGACTGCTTTCAAGTTTAAAGGATGTCCATTTCTAAGTAGTTGCTGGAGAGGATGTTGTCAAACTCTGTGCGAAATTCAGGGTAAGAGCTGTACGTACCTGGTACTTCAAGTGTTGCTCCCATAGACTGTATATAAAGATGGACGTAGTGTCCGTGACGTCACCCGTTGGTTTCTGAAGAGTGAAAATGAGGCTCGTAGAAGGCGTTTCACCCAGCGCCATCTTGCCGGGGCCTGACTCCTCCTAGTTCCTGGCTAACCCATATATGGGCAAAGAGGAGGCGCGCGAGTGGACGCTAGGTGTGCCGAGTGAAGACTGACAACTGAGCCACGCCCACAGATCTTATCGTTACCTGGTTGGCTCAGGCTAAGGAGCTAGGCTAAATGCTACCCGCGACTGCTAACCGGCTAGCGCTGCGGTGTTGTTGCTCTGGGATGGTCGCGGTCGTAACATCGAACCGAACAGAGGTAAGTTACCCAGAAACTTTACAACAACAAAACCTATTGATTTATTTATTATTATAATCATACCACATATACTTACATTCCTCAAGTGGTTTTTGATGTTATTGTGGTAATTCACCGTTTATTTAACACATCTAATGAAGTTTGAAGCAAGTTAACTAGCTTTAGTAAAGGGTTGTGTTTTTTCATTTGATTGTAATTTTATAAGTTAATATTAATAAGCTGCATGTGATACAGACTTGTATAACCGCCATTACTATTACAACCTCTTTTTTTTAGCCTGTTATAGAATTCACAGTGAATTAGACTCAGTGCAGATGTGATTATAATCTCCACACACCACTGTTGTAAACAGCGCTCATATTTATTATATATGTATCTGTTTTAACACTGCGAGAAGTTGAGGGACTTGATGTGGACTGTTATCAACAGCACTGTGAGAGATTATCACCCTTGAATATTACAGATGTGGTAGAAAGACATTTTATATATTTATACAATGTTTATTTCTTTTAGTACATCAGTTTGGCTGAAATCTGTGGTGCTTCCACCGGCTGAACACAGAATAAACTGTAAGTACCCGTCTTGGCTGCTTAACACAGCTGATATTACATGTGTCAAAATTATTGTAATTATTGTATTGTATAGAATCTGTAAATAATCGTGTTTCTCCTCTGTTCCTTCATATCTACAGATGTGACAATGATTTCAGCATAAAACATCCTTTAACATGACTTTTTTCATTTCATGAAGCACTGCAACACCTGATAATAATATTGAGTCAATTTCTATATCCATTATGGTTGGTAAAATGAACACTGTTATCACAACAATGTTCATCTTTTACTTTCTGATTTGATAAACTTTAGATAAAAAGTCTTTTCTTTTTTGCCATAAGAGACAGAACACGGTCAGCACAGCTGTRTCCCTCAGGTTCGTCCGTCCCTAATAAAATGACAGGAAAAATAAAAGTATGGCATTATTGCAGAGATACGTGTTACTTTCAAACAAAGTCTGTGTCCTTATATTCTGTGGATATTCAAGTATGTATCTGAATATGGTTTGGGATTAAACAGTGTACTACAATGAATGTGCAGTATGGAGTTCTTTCACATTAAAAGTATTGCATATATAATATAATGCATCATGTGCAATAATTTGCTTTAATTGTTAGTAAGTTATGAAAACAGGTCTCTATACCTGGTAGGTAAACTGTTCATTCATAAATAAAGTCCAGCTCAACAAGTTTCACACTGCAGCAGCTGCACTAACTTTATTTCTGAAACAATAATCTMATAAAACATTATTACTGAAGTTACTCACAGTAACGTAGTCAAGCCAAATAGGTTGGGGAGCTGAACAACTTTACATAACGTTAGATATCTAACTTGATGATATTCACTAAACACACAGTCGCCTTCAGTTTAAAAGATGTATCACCATAAACTCTAACAATCCTCTCTCCGCTGTGTGAAGGCTTCATGTTGGTTTAATAACTCTCGTCCCTCCCGTTAGCATCGCCATTACTGCTGGTATCTTGCCTGGAGGTTAGCGGAGCTAAGCTAACCAGCCAGGTAATAATAATACCTGCTCATCACTACTGACACGTAAATCAAAGACAGTACTTTACTCACCACAGACACTGCAGCACAGACGTCTTCCACTTCTCCGTCGGGACATCAGCCGAACAACAAATGATAATATTCATCCGACATGTGAGTGAAAACTCCTCCACAGATTCCGCTCGTGCTCGGTGACGGGGATTAGCCTGTTAGCTCAGGTGAAGCCGAGCAGACCACAGGCTAAACAGCCAGAGTGACGAGCTAACGKTGACGTCACGTGTCAATCAAGTGATAATTATTCACAATTTCAAACCTCTAAATTATCTAAACGAGCGAGTTAGAAAAAAATTCACCCCCCCCCCCAGAGTTGTCATGAAGGAAGAACTTACTGATTAAGACTAAAACCGTTTTTTGAACCAGGCTGTAAACACGTTTAATTCTGCTCTCAAGTCTGGCTTTTTAACATGGGAGTCAGTGGGAATTGACTCCCTCTTGGAGCCAGCCTCAAGTGGCCACCCAGTGAACTGCAGTTATTTGCACGACCATATTGGCCTCAGCGCTCAGCCCGGGATGTTGCCGCTTGGTTGCTCCACAGGTATGAGCAACAGGCCTTCTGCTAAGCCCAGTTTCAACATTAAAGCAAATTATGATTTTGTCAACACATACGACAGAGGACCCAGTGCAAAAGCGTAGGATTTTCTCAGCCTTGGTTTGGTCAGCATTTTTCACATAACGCTGGAGATGGTTAAAGGTTGTCTGCTCTCTCTGAGACAGCACCATCTTTGTTGTTTCAAACAGTTGTGACACTCTTGCCTGTGGCCTTTTTTGACTCGTAAAGAAACAACAGACTTTCCTTGTCCAACAGTTTCGGTTTTACCTGAGAAATAGGTGTGGAGAAGCAATCAACTATAAATTTTGGCTCTTGCAGAATGGCTTTGTGAGCCATTGTTTGTATGGCAGCCTTCATGCCTTCCTTTGGAGGTAGGAAATGGGAACCCATCCTTGTAAAAAGTTCGAGCAAGTCCTCCTCATCATCTTCCTCCATTGTTCCCTGGAGAGCCTTCTCCACAGCAAGGGGAGGTAAGTAGTTGAGAAATTATGCCATGCCAAGAATAAGATATACTTTTATTGTCACGTTTAACACTTTTACATGTATACATGAAATACACAATGACAGATGCCATGCACACACATATACTGGAGCAGTGGGCTGCTGTTGCCAGTGCCCAGGGAGCAGATATTGGGGGGGCGGTGCCTTGCTCAGGGGCATCTCAGGCCATGGTGAGCGGGAGCGGGGATCGAACCACCAACCTTCTGGTTATTAGACGACCTGCTCTACCGCTGAGCCACTGGCATGACACCATGATCTAACAATCCCTTCACCCAGATATGCCCAACTGCTTGCCATTTGGCCTCACAGAAATCTGGCCTCAGTCGTGGAACTCGCTCTGTTTCCCCCTCACATTGTTTGAGAAATTGCTCCCAGAATGCTGTGTAAACTTCCCTTGACACTCCTGCATCATCTACAGCTTTTTCATTTACAAATTCCATCTTTAAAGTCTAATTCATTATACTGCTGTCCATTAATAAAGCCAAAAGATCTTGAACAACCTTTAACCTGCAAATTAAAGCACACTGTGTTCTATGTGGATTTCCTGGGTTGCTGGCTGAGGTTGATGGGGAAAGCTGGCTGCTTGAATTGGAGGGCAAATTGAAATTCAGTTCACCGTCCTGCCAAAACAACAAAACATACACACGACAAAAGCATAGGGGTCAATGATTGAAGCAGAGGCCAAAGCCTTTATCCTATCTCCTTTTGGTATTTTTGTGTAAAGGTCAAAATAATACTTGATCCAATGTTTCCCTCTTTTCATCTTTTCATAAGACCCTCTCACAAACTGCACACCTCCAGTTTTTAACACAGGCTTTCTATTTGCAATTTGTTTTATATCCCAGGACAAATTAGCCCCAACCACAGTTGTTATATCTTTAGTTCATTATTATTCATTCAATCAATCATAATTTCATGATTTATATTAAAACAGTGAAAAATACAGTTAAAAGTAATTATGACAACACATGATTTAATTTATGTTACAACAAGGTGGCATTTGGTTATGCGTGCAATGAGATGAGAGAAAAAGGTCAAAGTTTAGTACCATAGAAGAAGAAGAACGTGTTAGCCAGAAGAAGAAGTCTATGTTTTTGTGTACTTCTGATAGTCATTTTTCATCAGTAAAAGATCCATAAAAGACACCAGGATGTCCACTTCGTTTTTAACACTAGCTGCAGTTATGTTCCAACATCAGTATGACATTAACAGTTAAGTTGTGTTTAAAGGATGTGTAATGGGTTTGGTTTGGACCCAATAGCAGCACAAAGACAGGCGGGTATCATTGGTAACAAACTTTATTGTCAGAGCCACAGAACTGCAGGATGCCACAGAGGAGACGAGAGTGACACTCACTCTGCAGAGCTGAATCAGGTAATCACCGGATAGCCAAGGGAGCAGACAGGCAGAATCCAGAAAGGAGCAGGCGAGGATCGTGGTTGGGGACGGAAGGCTGAGGTGATTACCAGGAGATCGGTCAGGCAGGATGGTCGAAGACAAGCAGGGTCGAAACCGGGAGATCAGGCAGAGAAACACTGGAGAGTCTGGTGCAAGCATCGAGAACAATCTGACGATGAGTGAGAGTGGAGCTGGGGCTTAAATGCAGCCAGAGCAGAACAGAGAGCACAGGTGAGTGGAGTTGGCTTGATGAGAGGGGTGTGTCTGATTGGCAGATTGAAGCAGGCAGGTGCAGAGTGGTGAGAGAGAGATGAACTGTGACAGGATGTGTTTAGAGTTGCTTGCTGTGATGCATCTTACCTGTGCAGTTTGGGAGTTGTAAATCCTGCATAGGTACTGCATTCAGCTCTGCACTTTGACGAAATGGAAAAAGTCAAACCTTGTAAATTCACATACATTATATAGTACAGTATAATGCAATCAGAAATCAGACATGCCTCATCTTACAGTCCACCTTAGGGTGGAATTCCACAGGTTTCCATCAGGTCTTAGTTGATTTTTTGTGATATAAAATGTGGTAAATTAGCAAAAAGCACTGAATTGCTAATCAAAATGAAGCTCTATAAACATAGGGTTAAGTACAGTTAGAGTTCTACAACACTGTAACTTATTTCATTCCTGTGCCCAAATGATATTGGGTAAACAGAGTGCATATGCCATAACAAATATAGGACATAGTTTATTTGTGGATGCACAACTGAATTTCTGAATTCATAG